AACTTTGAGCTTCTGACCGCGCTTGGGGTGTAAACTGCATTGGCAGCTTTAAAATGATCCAACAAAGACGGGGCTATTAATCGTTTCGCTGCGGCACAGCAGCGTTTCTGTCATCAACTTGCACACACTGCCACGCATTCTTATGATACGACACACAGACAGACTTCTTTCTACTTACACACTCACTGACTCACTAGCGGCTGCTTGCAAGCCTCGAGACATTAGCAACACCATTTTTCATGTGGCGCAGCGCAGCATTTTGTGTGTGTGCGGCTTACAGCTTGCAGCTTCCATTTCGTTTGTAGATTTAACGCAGCTCGCCCAGTTCACCAATAGATGGTGGTAATGGTAATAAAAATGCATGCAAAACATACAAACGCTGTCAACGCAATATTTTCACGCTTAAAGCGCCTAAGGTTAGACTACACTTTTTTGTAGTGTGCTCTTCTACTTACAGGGGTGCAATAACGTTGTTCATTTAACGATTGTAGTCAAATGAAAGTACAGCAGAAAAGTGTTTTCAACAATTAGAGTTAGAACACCTACAAACTCTCGAGCCAAAAGACGGGCGGCCTGCTTGAATTTGAGGCTGCTGGAAAAAAGTGTCAGCCGAAAAGAGTCAAGGGCTATGTGCAAGTGCCTTAGGTCTCAGGTTGTGCTTCCTTGCTTCTGCTGAAAATCTGAAACGTTGCTCTGTTTTCCTCTTCATAATACTTGTAAGTGTTCGAAAGGGCTTCAAAAGGGTTTAGAGTTTTCTAAAGCGATCATTTTCAAAGAATTGTTATGAATGAATTTGATCTTACATATGTATTGGTATCTTCATATTCTGAGTCATTCACTAAGAGTCAGCGTGGGGTGGCATGAAAAGTGAGTAGTGTTGTAATCCTTGCTTTTGAAATTGTTAATTATAATCGGATTTTGCCAAACTAGCTGAGCAGCATGGCTGGATTTTTGTTCAATAATGGCACATCTGCTTGTATACATAAAGTACAGCACGGAAATAAAATTATCAAAATAGATATAAGGTGCAAACCTTACCACTACACGTGTGGAAAATTGAAACTGATCCCAGTTAGGGTAGCGAAGCAATGGCCTGGAAGAAATTTACATAGAATTTTTTATGGCATCGAAATCAACTCGGAAGCGTTAACCGTTGAGTTGGTCTCTTGCAGTTTTCTTGCCATCCTCATACCCGCAAAGACGAAAAATCTAGAAATGCATGAGCAAGAATACGATCCTCAGATACAAAAATTTGGAATAAAAATAAATTTAAAAAATATTTTATTAAAAAATATGAAAATAAAGCGAAAACCCTAAACCTTTTTTAAATGAATATATACTAGTTTTGTTCCTCCCTATACGCGTCTTTCTTGATTTCTCCATGCGCCTGAATTTATATTCTTTCTTTTATGCGATTTTGTATACCCTTTCGTTGACCAGGGGAAAATAAAATACTTTGTAGCTGGCTAAATCCAGCAGATTTACGCCAAAGCTTATATTTATGCTCTAATACATATATGTGTATATATTTGTATGTATATTTGCTTGAACGCAATTTCCGCAAATAAACACTGGCGGCAACATTTTGGACTTATTTCACATTTACTTCCTCACAATAAGCATAAATACAGGCAAGCGTGCATACAGACATAAATATATGTATGTATTTAATGATTGCCTTCCTCATAGATTCTGCAGCAACTAGCACTAACTGGTTGGCCAAGCATATCCATTAAAGCGTTGCAATTTGTAGGAGCTTCAAATGTGTGTGCACCGTTCAATGATGCAGCTTTGAAAAAATCCTCACAAAGAACTACGGTATATACACATAAATAAGTTGTTGCATGTTCTGCAATTAAATATGTATAAATGTGGGTAAGGCAGCGTTTAATTTTTCCCCTCAACTCAAAGCTAGTCTAAAATCTACAACAATTAAGTTAATAAGTGAATCATCATAAGTTGGCTTTGGTGAGAGCATAAAAAATTAATGGCATTAAAATTGTGTAAAAAGGAATTGAAAAAAAAAATGAGTTTTCTTTCGAGAATTTTTCACTTTTCTGTTATCCTGCTGCAGGGAAAATGTTGAAGCCAATTAATAAACTCTTTCACATATTTTTTTTACTTTTAATGCAAACATATACGTGGAGATATGTATATATGTATACACACAAGCAATGAAAGTCCACTTAATTACAACGTTGGTTATGCGTTAATCAACGGCGTAACTCTCGGCGAATTTCTTTGCGCTCTATAATGAAGACTGACTGCGGTAGCACCATATGCGCCTGAATGTAGGCAACACTAGCCGCGTATTACTCGCAGTGCATTCAAACAGCTGGTGAATTGCTGTGTGGGTCTCGCTGAATATTTATATGTGTATTAGTCGGTAATGAGTTGGTAATGAGTTTAGTAAATATAAATCGCTATAAAATTATAAATTAGCAATACAAATAAATGAATAGAAAGTTGTAAACTCATTACTGATTACCGATTTTCAGCTAATTTTAATGTGTAATGTTTTATATTTGTTATAAAAATTAACTAAAAGTTATTTAAATTAATTGTTAAAACTTCCGAATGTTTGGAATATTTTTTCTCAATATTTTCCTCTATATTTTGATGTTTTAAGTACTAATATTGCGTGCCGGATATAACCCAATTTGAATTTTTTCAATTCAAAAATATTGTAATATTTCACTTTAATTTAATAGGACATAAATACTATTACACATTACACACAATGTACAAATAAATGGTCCTAAGCATTTTTAATTTTTTTATTTTTTGATATATTATACTTTTTACAAAAAGCAATAACTCATTGGAAATGCCTTCAGTTGGCCTATGGCGGCCTCATGACGGAGTGATGACTTTTTTCACTTTTTATATGTAAGCAGATAACTTTTATTTAGAAAAATTCACCTCAGGCAGAGAACTAAGGAAAGAGGATACATTTTTTAAAAAATCAACAAAAAATTTTTAAATATGAAATAAAAGATTTGGGAGAAAAATTTTGTGCTCCAGTCTACATATATAATATTTGGCACGTAAAAAATTTGAGCTTAATGCAAAAAAAAAATTTTATATTTTTAAATATAATGAACAATTCAGTTTTAAGCACCTTCATCGCTGATTTTAGCAAAAATCGCACACACTGCTACAGACGAAAATTCAAAAAATCTAAGTTTAAAAAAGATTAGGACCAAATAAAAAAGCCACATCCTCCAGCAATAAAATTAGAAACAAAAGAAGTAATAATAATTTATTGCCTTCTATACTCGTAATACAAAGAAATGAGTAATATCAAATATTTATAATTTTCTCTAGAGAGAGCAATCTTCATACTAATCTATTTAGCTACGGTTTCTTCAGTCACTAAACAATAGAAAAATAATTTTGTTTTAGACTGATTGCCTATGAAATATGTTTCTAATTCCATGTTAATACTATGATCTAATTGATTATTAAAAATATCAAATGACAATATAGTTTAATTGATTTATAAATATATAAATATATAGATATATAGTCTCTAAAAAGCGGCATGGCACCATGGCTAAAGCAAACTCACTTGCGGCAACAGTGTGTATAAACATATGCATCAGTACAAATCCTTTAACAGTTATCATGTTTCATAGGAATAAGCGACTTCTAAGCGCACAGGCATTCGCAGAAAAGTTTATAAATATGTACTGTATATGTATAAGTATTTGTATATAAAATATTATTTAGCTAACAGAAAATAAATGCGTAGCAGATTGTGAATAATTGCTTGTAAAGCACTAAGCGATAGAAGCTATAATATTTTTAAGTTAGCATTAAACTTATTAAGACAATTAAATGGTAATATGAGTAGATCGAAATAATTAAACGATAAATAAAGAGAAATAATTAATACAAAATGTAAACAAATAAAAATTTGAAAACTATAGGTTATGTAAAAATGTTGATTATGCTGGTAGGTATGAAACTTGGATAGGTGAGAGTGAGGATGTGAGAGCATAAATGCAACAAAGAGTATAAGTATTGGATGTGATCAGTGTATTTATTTGATTGGTTGAAAATGTGGTTTGTGTCTTGGCTAAGTTTTAAATTCAAAAACAATAGTAGGAGCGCGAATATAGAATGGGCGTGAAATGCGTATTTAGTGTGATTAGATAAGGCGACATATATTTGTTTTTAGTATATGTTTGTAGAGTAATGCAATTGATATTTGAAATGTTGAGTTGTTGTATTGTTAACTTAGTGCATTTTCAACTTTAATATTCAAACTCTGCTGTGGTTCAATTTTAACAAAACATAAACAAAGGTTTAAATAAATACTTTTTTTTTTGAAAATTAATATAGAATTACCAAAACTAGTATGAATACATATAGAGCGTCGATATTAAGGAATTAAAATGAAGTTGGTGAGCAAGGTGGAAAATTCGAGGAACAGGCAAACATTAATGCTATAAAAATTCTATTAGGGAAGAAACATTTTTTGGACAGGATGAACAGATTATACTCATATATAGAACGTCGGAAAAGGATTATTGGTAAGGTAAATGTTTAGCAAAAGTAAATGTGTAGCAAAAGTATTGGATGAAAATTTACACAAATATAAAACGAGCAAACTAAAGCACGAAGCGAAAAGAGAGAGATAGAGAGAGAAAAAGAAAAAGAGACAAGCGGAGACAAAATTGAAAAACTTATTTCGTTTAAGCCGTTTAATTGAGAGAAAGAGTAGGGGACAAATGCTTAAAATAATTCAAAAAAGTGTCTTTCACATGTGAGATATTGGGACATGAGATTGAGGCATTTAGAAATGCATTCTTCTATAACAAATATATGTGTGTTAAAAATTTGTGTTTGGCACTGCAAAAAATTGTTTTGAACGAAACAAGAAAATGAATCAAAACTGAAACACTCATTTCAACTCAATCAGAGAAACGCAAATATGTATAAATATGTTGTTATGTATTTATATTTATAGGTGAAACGCTTTAATTATGGCGGACCTGAACTACTCGAGACATCTTGCTGCGGCACCGGCAATCCACCGCTACGTTGCTGCGCCAATTCCTGTTGCTGCAATTGTACACCCAATATAGGCACCGGCACTGGTGGTGGTCGCACGCCACGTCCTGCCCGCTGCGCTGCGGCCACTGCAGTAGCTGCTATCGCCGACAGGCCACCCGTACTACTACTGCTACCTGGACCGCCAATAATGCCCGTACGTTCCGGATAATCGGGCACATTCATTATCTGTATATCGGGTCCATCCGTTTTATTGCTACCTTGGACGGATTTGTCGGCGCCGGCGGCAATTACACCGGTTCCCGTCGTAGATGCTGTAATATTCGCGGACTTAAATTCACCAATTTTTTGTTGTTGTTTTTGTTTAAGCACGCGATAGACTTGATCAATGTCAGTGAACTCTATAATTTTACATATTTTTTTTTTTTTTTTGTAAAGATGATGCAGAATATTTTCGAAAATGGTGGTTTTTAAGGTTGTATTGCCAATTTATGGTGGAATGCAGGTATTTATCGATTAAGGCATTATTTGGATATTTGGTTGGAAATTGCAAATAATTTTGAGATGGCATTGATGTTGCATAATTAACGGTAATATGGTGATTTTGTTAATCGATGGTTCAAGCGATTTTGATTGCGGTTGCCGATAGGGTTTGTTTGATGTTTGGTGGAATATTTTATTGTTTTTTTTTCGCCATTTGTGAGATATAAAAATAAAAGCATAACGATGGGAGTGATGATCAATATTTTACATACTCAATTTAAAACATAAAAAACTATTTTTTCACAAGAAAAATTTAGATATTCCACTTACTAATGAAAATAAAGGCTTAATGATTTAATATTAAAAATATATTTACGGAAAATTTTCTCTGTGGAATGTCAGTTACTTTACTAGTAAATATTATACGTAGAACCATTGAAAAAAAAATAAAAATATTCAATATTAATACTAGGATTAGTTAATACATAACCACTATGTTTATATCATTAATTCCTTATCAAATATATTTATTTTGTGACGAATGTCCTATATTATTAATATGCGATCCAAACAAAAGTTAAATGTAGAGATTATACGAATATATATATGATACCTAATAAAAATGTTTGTTATACAATGACTATTACGTGCCTATTAATTTTTTCTGTTGAATATTAAATCTAAAATAAAAAATTAAATTAAACAATGCAAATTAATAAAAAAAATCAAATATTGTATTTCTATTTAAGTTTAATTTTAATTTTAATTTTAATTTTAATTTTAATTTTAATTTTAATTTTAATTTTAATTTTAATTTTAATTTTAATTTTAATTTTAATTTTAATTTTAATTTTAATTTTAATTTTAATTTTAATTTTAATTTTAATTTTAATTTTAATTTTAATTTTAATTTTAATTTTAATTTTAATTTTAATTTTAATTTTAATTTTAATTTTAATTTTAATTTTAATTTTAATTTTAATTTTAATTTTAATTTTAATTTTAATTTTAATTTTAATTTTAATTTTAATTTTAATTTTAATTTTAATTTTAATTTTAATTTTAATTTTAATTTTAATTTTAATTTTAATTTTAATTTTAATTTTAATTTTAATTTTAATTTTAATTTTAATTTTAATTTTAATTTTAATTTTAATTTTAATTTTAATTTTAATTTTAATTTTAATTTTAATTTTAATTTTAATTTTAATTTTAATTTTAATTTTAATTTTAATTTTAATTTTAATTTTAATTTTAATTTTAATTTTAATTTTAATTTTAATTTTAATTTTAATTTTAATTTTAATTTTAATTTTAATTTTAATTTTAATTTTAATTTTAATTTTAATTTTAATTTTAATTTTAATTTTAATTTTAATTTTAATTTTAATTTTAATTTTAATTTTAATTTTAATTTTAATTTTAATTTTAATTTTAATTTTAATTTTAATTTTAATTTTAATTTTAATTTTAATTTTAATTTTAATTTTAATTTTAATTTTAATTTTAATTTTAATTTTAATTTTAATTTTAATTTTAATTTTAATTTTAATTTTAATTTTAATTTTAATTTTAATTTTAATTTTAATTTTAATTTTAATTTTAATTTTAATTTATGTATGTTGTATATTATTTGTTGTATATTATATTTATTGTTGTATATATAATACCACCAAATATCAAAAAATTTGGTGGTAGGTGGGTAGGAAATTTTTCTGGTGTACGCTAGGAATCGTCGGTGGAAAGAAAAAAATTGATGTTAAATCCGCTCGCATCAAAGGTTGAGGACATTTATTTAAGTACTTACACTTTCTCAGCCTTACTTTTCTCATTTTTTCTCTCTCATTAAATCTACATGAGCTTCTACAAAATGGAAATATGAAGTGAGGCTAGCGTATAATGAAACGATCGCATTGTTCTAGCTCTACGTCAACGATTGCCTTTGGACCAACTAAACTAGCGAGTTTTGTGCCTGCCTAAGTGCTCTGATAAGTGTTGGTATGTTTGTATTGTGTTGTGGTCTTGTGTGTGGTAACTGTGAATTTTTGTATGATAAAATGATGTAATTTATAAAAGTAATTTTTTAAACAAAAGGTAAGTAATTAAAATCGAATGACATTCGCACTTCAGTAGAAACTACCAAAAGTGTCTTTAGACTCAGAAGCATTTTGTGAACGATATGAGATTAAAAAAATATTTAATTAGTAATTCGTATTTAAAAAATGTCAAAAAATATATATACGTCTCATCTGTATAAGAAGTACATAATCAATACCGTTAATCTTTGAAAAAAAAAATTCTCATGAGTTAATCTTCTACTGTATTGCGCCAAGTGAAATTTATGAGCGAAATTTCATGATAATGAAAGGAATACCGAAATGGTTTGTAATGCGTTACTAGCGATATTTTCCCATTACTTAGACATGCGTGGCCAATCTAAAATATAATGCGGACTAGACTTTAAGAATATTTTGAACATTTTTTTTTATTACTTTTCTAATTATTAAAATTAATTACAATAAAATTAAATTAAAACAATTGAAACATAAATATACATATACACATGTATATACGTATAAAAATATATATATATATGTATATTTTTTATCCAACTAAAGCAGGCACATTATTGCAGATATTTATATTGTATTGTATAACATTTGCTTAATCAGCATTATGTACGTGTTGACGTGTATATATTTACTAAAGATAGCTATGTATATAAAATATATTTAATATGTGTAAGTATATTTACGAATTTAGTAAGTTAAAGTGTTGCTTATTTTTTCTTTAATTTTAAAAATTTCACATTCACCAAGCCAATCGCCTTTATTTATATATGTACGTGTATATGTTTGTATGCAGCACCTACGGATTTTTGCAAAACAAAACAAAGCAAACCATTACGCTGCATTAATATATATATTTATATTTATATATATATATTTGAATTATCATATATATTTATGTAAGCGTTATCACTACACTAAAAAAATATTGTTTTTTTTTTGTTTGTTTCTTTTTTCTAATCTTTTAATTTTCTTTCGTATACCTAATTGCGAAATTCTATCGATGAACGGCACTTTTTGGCGAAATTTTCTATTTCCTATTGTTTGATTTGCATTTGGCGAGCCCAGCAAGGCATCCTGTTCTTCATAGGTTATTTGCTGTTGCTGCTGCTGCTGTTGTTGTTGGTGGGATTTAGATGGTGGCGCTAGTGGCGGTGGCGGCGTTGGCGCCCTTATACCTTCTTCTGCGGGTCCTTGAACATGTTAATATTTTTGAATTTTTTTTTGGATTTTTTTTTGAATTTTTTTTTTGGAAATTATATAATTTTTGTTTTGTAGTTACAATACGAATTTAAAAAAAATCGTAAAATATAGCGTTAGGTTAAGTTATAAGGTTTTTAGAGTGAATTAAATTCGATTTATAATTTTTGGAGTTTTTAAATGTGCGCGCTTGAGCAGTTAAATTATCAGAATATTAATTAACGGCAAAAATAAAAAGTTTCCAAAATAATTAAGAAATAATAGATAATGAAGGAAACCCGAAATTGCACACAATATGTGTAATAAAAAAATCTAAAAACCAAAATTTTGATTTTGCAGTGTAAAAGAAACATTTTCATATAAACAATATTTTTAAAAATGATTTTACCGTTCTTGTCTGAAAATAAATAAAGACCAAATCAATTTATACTTCAACATATTTTAATCTTAGCATTAATATGCCGTAGAATTAGTGAAAAGGGATCGAAAATTCCTTCTATTCAAAAAAATTTGCTTGTAATGTCGTTCTGAGGGTGAGTTAATTAACAAAAAAATATATCATATAAACTTATATCATTTTGAGCAAACAACTAAACATTTTTCAGTTCTATTACTGTCAAAATATTCTAACTCTAAGATTTAGTAATAACAAAAATAAATTTTAAAATTTTAACTATTTTTTACTATTTATAAAATTCAATTTTAAGATTTTTTTCTGTATTTTTTCAATTTTAACTCTTCTCTTATATTAAAAAATAAGAAGGGTTCCAATTTCTCCTTAAAAAAAATTTTTTTTAGCAAGTAAGAAATTCCATTTAATATTTTCTGCACAAAATATTCAGTATTTTTTTCATGATTCTTACATAAGAGGTGTTATTTTGAATAGCCTGCTGTTCCGGAAGATGACAATTTTTAATCTAAAGTTTTTTGAAATTTGAAAAGTGAAACTGTCGCATCTGAAACTCAGAAAAAAAGGATTTAATGCTAAAAATCTACTCCATCCTAAACGTGTGACTATTTTATGCGGTTTTTAATCCATCGGCATTTTTCGGAAGTGAATGGATTTCGCTATCGAGAGATGAATAATGATTTTTTATGGCCGGAATTTTATATTATTGATTTGGATGATGTTTACCTTCAACAAGACGACGCTACGTACCACGCAAGCAAGAAAAAAGATCTTTTAAGGGAAACGTTTTCAGACGCTGTTATGTCTCGAAGAGGTGTTCGTAATTGGCCACTGAGATATTGTGATTTAACACATTGCGACCTCTTACTTTTAGACCACTTGAAAGAAAAGGTCTACACCAGCAAACCAACGTCGTTTTCACACTTATAGGAGGATTTCATGAAGCTATGAAGGATATACAGCAGCTGCTTGGCTGTTTGGTGATGGAATATTTCATAAATAGCCATAGGCTGATACTGATTTTTTCACATTGAAATTGGCATATTTTCCTCTATACATTGAAATAAACTGCGATCATTTATCGCAAAAAATGCTTATAATAACACCTCTTATTGGGAAACCTTTTTTTTTGCGCAGATGCCGGCATGACATTTTCAGCTCTATTTTTTAAATTTTTTATATGTCGGGAACATTTTTTTCATTTGTACTTATTTTGAAAAATGGTACGAAGGTATTTCATATCCTTTTCCAAATTCAAAAAAAAAAAACAAATATATTGGCTTACGGGAATATTTTTATCCTTAAACGTTTTGAATTAACAAAATGCAAATACTGTTTATTAAGAAACTAAAATTCAAAAATTATTAGAGATTTACCGCATCAGTATTTCTTACTAATATTTTTTTCTAGATTCTCGCAAAAGTAAATATATGAAAAGTTTTTTTAAATTTTTACATAACTTGTAAGGTTTTAATTTTACATAAATATTTGTATATCAAAATATTAAATTTTTTTGAATTTTATTGCATTAAAATTGATATTTTTTAACAAAAATAAAGAATTTCATTATATTTTGTTTTGATTTTCGATCCATTCGTCATTATAATCTTAAATCCAAAAGAAAATCCAAATTAATTTTTTTCAACTACTTCACCTGCAATAATTATTTGTATTTATTTTATGAAAATAAATGATTAAATTAAAGAAAAAATCATTTTTCAAAAAAACGTCAACGTAACTTACAAAAAAATGCTGGAGTTTATTTTTGAGTCTTTTTTGTGAATGTTTCGTGAAAAAAGTTTGTTAGAGTTGATAACTACTCTGGAAGAAAGTTTTTTTTTACTAATTTTCTAAACAGAAATATGGCTTTCGTTTTGAAATATATTTATCCTACAGTTTTTCTAAAACATGAGAACTTTAACTTTCCACCAACAAATTATTTCAACTTGATATATAAAAATTTCGCTCACTTCCTTCAACTCAAATCGGCTAACAAATGCTATACATGTAGTAAGCTAAATTGCCTCAGTGATTTTTCTTGAACTGCTTCTTCTTCTTCTCCTATCTTATCTTCTTCTTTCTTCACATAAAACCATGCTCAACGGCATCAATCAACAACAAATCAGATTGACACAATTGATTTGTCCACTCGGCGCACTCAGCTCATTCATTTATATACCTTCGAGCGCTCATCTTCCTCCAACAAACGTACGCTAGAGCATCATTGAGTATCCCATAACTTAGTAGTGGCGTAATACATAAGTAGAAAAAAAAAGTAGCAAAAGAAGAAAAGAAGTGAGTTTATGGATGCAGGCAATTGGCAATGCGATGAGTGTCACGCAACAGAACTCAATCAAAGTTCAAGAAGGAAACGTTAAGAATAGAATCGGCGCTGTTGCAGTGTGTCCTTTGATCTGATTAGTTTGGACATGTAAAGGGGTTTTCGCTGAGAGGCGTGGAAAAAATTTGGAAATAACTAAAATTTTAGGAGGCTTAAGAAAAAAATATCAACTTTTCAGACTTCTCTCTCATAAATTTTATATGTAAGAGAGCAGTACAATAATATTTCTCAGTATTTTCATTCTCCCTGTAGTCTTAACTTTGGTGAGGAGAAAAGGAAAAGAAATAAAATATTCAATTATTTATATTATTTATTATTATTTTGAAGATTCACTCACTTTTGAGAAAACTTTTAATTCTGTCATCTAAAATTGTGTTCAGTTGGAAATAGCGATAATAGTTACCGGAATATCCATGGAAACTGAGAATTTATTCGGTCTTTGGCTTCAACATTTTTTTATCTCTAACGGTTCAGTATTCTCAACAGTCGAGATCACAGTGCGGTCCTCAGCTTCCAACACCTTTGAGTAAATCGGACTTATCCCCCAACATGCTGAAACGTTTAAAATGTGAATGGAGATCAAATGTTGTAGGCACATCATCTCAGTCTACAGCGACGGCAACAAAATGGACTACTCGGTAGTGTGACGGCAGTATAATCTGCAGACCTTAAAATCTCTTTTATATATGTCTACCATACTTAGCCAGCATCTTCCAAGCGAGAGCGCGCAGGCTATAACAGGAGTATGTAGTGCTCTCAAGGCACACTACGGGATAAAACAGCGGCCGACCATATACTTGGCCAGTTAAGCTGTTTGAGTTAGCCTAGTTATGTGCATGTCTTGACCGATACTAAGCGGAGTTAATACCATTGCCCTTAGGAATGATTCGAGGAGAGTTTCACTTATATATAATTGACGCTTTCTAACCGCTGAAATGATTTTCGGCCGAACTCTACCTTTAATTTTTGGTTTTGCGTCCTGTTGGTTTTCCAAAAAATGGAGGGGCTTATAGTTTATACTAAACCGTCTCCGAACGGCTCTCATGAGGAGCCTTTATTTCATATCCGAAATACCCTTGAAGGGATTGACATCCCCTGCCGTGGGGCGGCCGAAATTAAAAAATGTTCTCGAATTTTTCGATGTTGGTCGCTCCGAGAGTTTCACGTGCAGCTTACGATTTCGACTAGGGAAAAGTGTATGTAATCTTTCAGCGTCAATAACTGGGCACTGGTACTTTGGGGATCATATTCCAACTATGAAGATACCCTAGGTCAGCTATTAAAATGTCTGTGATGTGTAGGGTGTTAAGAAAACATTTATCTATTGTTTTTGTAAGTGCTCATATCTCCCAAAAAACACTTGGAACCAATGAGTTATCAAACTTGAACGGCTTACCACAAATACTTTTGGTAGCACTCATACCTATCAATCTATATTTCAAACCCTTGCAGCAAAGAGATGCTGCTTTAAACCTTGCCAGCATTGAGGCTTTCTTACGATGTGTTGTGTCATAAAAAGTCCGTCAACTGGAAATCCCTTCCTAGATTTTCTGACGTCCTTCTACCTTGGCAAGTATGATGCTATTTCAAAGCAGAAATTAATGGAGACTCACTTTTCTGCAGAAAATTTCTAAGCTGTGTTCTTTTTGTGGGTATAGACTGGGCAATAGGCAGCGCTGCTAGAGCGGTGCCAGTCTTAAAACTCGAGCAAGTATCCAGTACCAGTGCTGGCGGTTAAAGCAGACAGCTTCCACATGCCGCACCATCTTTTATTTCCTTGCGGCTCCTGCTTAGAAAGGAGTTTGTATGCTCAAACTTGCACAAGGTGAGATATCAAAGGCTAGAGGTAGAGGCTTTCTTACGTGAAAGAATAGAAATGAACTGCCTAAAATTTTTTTTATATTTTTTCTAGTTCTTGGTGATCAGAACTCTATTGCTTTTATTCACTTTTCATAAAAGTGCAGAGTTTTGAACACCAATTTACAGAACATTTCAGCCCTTTAGGCACATGATGTCCACCAGATAGTGGGTTCTTCAAAGGTATGCGACAAAACTACAAATTCGGCTCGGTTTGGGGTTATTCCACTTTTTCGAAATGCTAAACGTATGAGATCAATAATTTTTAGTCTCAGCCATGCCACAACACACGCCAGTTCTTTGAAAGCTGCATAGCTTATGCCGTCTCTTCTTCCAAGCAACTTAAAAGAGGATATAGAAATTTAGGATAGAAAGAAGTTTCTTTGTCGTTCCACCTACCACCTTGGGCCGGAAGAACTTGGTAACCTCGCGTTTTGAGTTTCAAGCCAAGCGCTCTCTGAGTTGGTACAACGTAGTAGAGAAGAGATAGAATTGTAGGAATGGGGCTTGGCTTGGGCAAAACAAAAAATGCATTAAAGCTAGACTGCTCACATTGAAACACCCTTTGTTGAAAGAAAAAACCTTCCACTACTGCAACAGCATTGTGTGCGTGTGTGTGTATTGGAGAACAATGCAATTTCTATAATTGCACTTAAACAAAAGTAAATCAAACAGCGAACAAAAAAAAGTAAGCGAAGGGAAATAAAAAAAAAATTAAATAAAATAAAATAAAATGAAAAAAAAAAATTAAATTTTAATGGAAATGAATTTTACGCCGCATCTCGCATCATTGCCGATTGTCTGCAGCCCGCATATACACTCACTCACCCCCCGCAACCCTGTCTGAACTTTTCTAAAAACTTTGTCTTTCACTTACAACAACAACAATATACTTTGTACTTATTACATGGGTAAATACTCAGCAATCAATTCGGCACTTAAACGTGTTTACTGTAGTGGGAAATTCCTCGGCGAGCTGTTTCTACTGCATCCTTTTCCTGTGCTTCTCCTTCAACTGCGACTACTTTCAGAATTATAATGCAAAAACAAAGCATGAATCAGGGAAATATGGAGCAGGAAACCTGGTATGAGGTAAAACAAATAATATTGCAATATGAAATTGCAATTGAAGAAAAGTTGTCTTCACTCGGTGAAAGAAAAACAAAAGAGGAAGTGAACAAAAAAATAACAGATATTGAGTTTTCATTTTTGTAATTTTTTTTTAATTTTTTTTTTTGTGCCATCATAGGAATATCTGGCTGTGTAAACAATGAAGAAAAATCACTGGAAATTTCTTGCCTGGCTTTCATACTTTGTAAAGTGTGCGTAAAGTATAACAAAGTATGTTTTATTTATTTTTCCAATTTCTTTTTCTACTAATTTTTATTCTTCTTCTTCTGTTTTCTCATATTGCTTGCATTTGTGCCGCCTTCACTGTGTCGGTATTCTAAGAGTTCTGATAAATATTGCCAGCATATGACAATGCAAATCGAGGGGAAATAGCTTGGTGATTGAGGAAGGTTGGGGGTGGAGGTTGACAGTGTTTGTGTATGTGTGTAAACCTCAGCAATATGTAAGCATTGTAGATTGTAAAATAAAATTGTGAATTTGATTTTTTTTCAATAATAAAATTGTGCATGAATAAATATTAATTTATAATTTCGATCGTGATCTGATTCTTTTTTGCATAAAACTTGGCACAAGAGTCGCACTCAGCAGCAAGAGTTGGCGTAGATTGTAGGAAAATAAGAGAGATTTTTGTACAATTAACAAGCTCATTATAAAATAACTCTCTTAAGCGAATATGAAGAAATGTCTCCCGCATATCTACAAGAGAAAGATTTCACTAAATTGAAGAAACTTTCAGCTGACTGCAGTCAGAGATGAGCTAAGGGGCATTTAATAAAAGCAAAGCTTTAAACGCCTGTTGAAATCCCGCGAAAAGGGAAGATGGACCTTAAGGCAGCTAGAACCGATCCTTTGTCTATAACCTTGCGAGTAAGGGATTCAAGAATTTTCCCGCGGTAAGGCATAACTGCCAAGGACTGTTACTCCCGAAACATAACCCAAAAACTACTATGTGGAATATTTTCACCGCTAAGACAACAACAAAATTTTTTTATAAGGTTTAAGCTCCTCAAGACTGCAGGTCTTGGGTTAAGTAATTTCTAGGCTGCTGCTTGGGGACGCGATAAAGTGAGAAAAAAGCCTTTTGCATCTTAGTGAGAGAGTGAATCAATCACTTTGTTTTGACATTCATCGCCGAGGATGATGATGCATCGCCCCGCAATCTGCAACAATGTCAAGTTCTTCAAAATGTCGATGATTTTCGGAAAAGAAGCACGAGGTGACCAAAACCGTCACTTTCGAGATCAGAGAATGCAAAGAGCATATCCTGGGCGAAACTGTCGGATAATTTAGACTCCACAGCGAAATATCCTCTAGTGAGTTAAGGTTCATCGGTTCAGTACTCTAGATGTGCATACAGTGGTATAAGAATCCAATTTAGACTCGTTAGAGTTAGAACTGTGGAACGGCAATTCCAGCTCACCACGTAGCGCCACTACAGAAACAACTTTAACTGGTATCCTGAGAAATGGAGAAACACACTAAAGGCAGAAGCTAGGAACATTTGCAGATGGAACGGGAAAGCTCATGCTCAAAAATTCTACGAAAACCTGCGGCAAATTACAGTGGATTTAAAACAGGATCTTACTCATGTTCCTACATGACAAGGAGTTAATCTAATAAATGATGTTATCGGCATGCGCACACGCTTCCTTATCCGGATGCGGCGAATAGCGATTGCTCTCTTGAAATCTCTAGAGCTTTTGGCGTATTGGAGGGTATTGCCTTCTATCACTTTTAATTGCAGGCGCAGAAAAATCTACGAAGGCAGCAAACACGAGCAGAAATCTGATAAGATGAAAAAAGCAAACTGCACACTTGACTATGAAGAATTATGAAAAGCAACAGCTCATTTGGAGTGAAACAGAAATGAGCAAATGAGCAGAGAGTGACGAGTGAAACTAAAGCTGAGCAGACTAGGGGAAAAAGATTTTTCAATTCATTGTAATCAAACTTCAAAATTCTTCATATTAAAATTTGTCTTTGTTGGATTTCGTTATAAAGTAAAAATAAAAATTTCCTTTCTTGCATTTATAGCATTAAATTATAGCAAAGTTTATAGAAAAAATGCCAAATAACTTTGCTGTTGAGTGCAGTTAAAGTGAATGAGAAAAAAAAAACATTTGAAAAATTTTTCATGGCAGAGAATTTATAATGATAAATAAATTTATTGCATCAAAAAAAATTTTTTTTTATTTGTTTTGTATTTTAAATAATTTTTGTATATCTGTATGTAAGAGTCAACTAATTTTTCTTTTTAATAATTACATTTCAATTATGAGACTAACAAAAAGTTTGGAGAGATTTTTTCTATTTTTGTAACTATTTTTTTTTTTTAATTATAAAAGTATTTAACAATATTTTATTGAAAAAAAAGAGGCATGAGTTTTGGTCAGGGTATGCTCGCTAAATTTTGATTCTTAGTCATGTTCTTCTTCTTATAATATGTAAATTTCAAACAAATATAAAATATATGCAATTTCAAATATACTTAGTATATGCATACGTAACGCTACCAATTATGCGTATAAATATATTTTATTATATATATTTATTATATATTTTCGAAATGTATGTTCAATCATAGATGTTTAACAATATTGCTTAACTTAGACTAGAAATTCCCATATCTCTACCTGTTGTTTGTTTTTTCTATTTTCATTGCTAAAAATGGTCAAATCATTGTCCCTTATTTTGTGGTAATTTTTGCATTTTGATATGGAATTAGAGAAACGAATTTTTTCAAAATTTTGTTTTGGTATTTACTAGAGCCTTTGAGCTTTTAATTCAGCCGCTAGCTATATTAGTATGCAATTTTAAACGAATGCGACCTGCTTAACAACTTATGCATAGTTATGGTTAATGAACTAAACGATATTTACATAATGCAACAGTGTGTTAGAGAAGTATGTCTACGTACATATGTATATACGCAACTAAAAGAGGGCAATTATCTTAAGGATATTTAGACTAATAGATTATGGGTACATTAATACTAATTAAATTCTAGTCGAAGATAAAAATTTCAACAAAAATTAATGGTTATAAATAATAATAATGCCAATTAAAACTTTTATAAAATGTAAAAATTTCACTAATTAGTAACATAAGATTACCTTAACTAGAAATTGGAACAAAAAATAAAATGTGTCTTTTTTTCATTTACCAATACTTTGATAAAATACACTTAAAATAGTTATATTTTTATGTGTGCTAACGAAAAAAAATTACCTCATTCAAAAACTAAGAAAATAATTAAAAAGAAAAAAATATTCTTTGATAAAAATGAGTAATTAGTAAAATTTTTTTTTAATTTATTTTGCAATAACAGAGTATAATAAGTAAGGTTTTAAGAGAAATTACGTAGCAGTCTTTATATTCATATATTTCTCAAGGACACACTGTTAAAATTCCTTTTTGGGACCCTCTCAAAACTGAACACTTTTGTTTTTATTTACTAATATTATTAGCTATTATTCACTTTGTTTCAAGTTTTATTTTGTTTTAATTTATTAGTTAATAACCCCCTTTGGCCTAGCCCCGCTTTGGTTAAGCAGTTATAAGTGCAAACTTATTAGTGTTTAGCATAGATATGTATATAGTTAAAGTGTAAGCTGAAATAACATTGGCAACGTGCAGAACTTACTTTCTTCCTCGACATCGACGCGATTCTCTAGCTCCGATGTGCTTTTCTGTCGACGTAACAGCTTCTGTTTCGGCTGGCAGCGAGGCAGTTGTGATGCGCAATCGCCATGCGCATTTAATTTACAGATGCGACAGCGTAATCCCTGACGTGTGTGACCTGAGGATGTAGGAGTATGCGAAAGAAATTATATGAGCAAAATTTTAATTAAGAAATTTAAAAAAAAATATTTATATATAAATTAGCATTCTCGATCTTGGCATTTATTTAATAATTTAATTTAATTTCCCCATTTTATTTATATTTTAATTCCATATATAGACATATGCTTTTGCGTTATTTTATTTTATTTCAATTAACTTCATTGTATTTTAGTTCTATTATTTTAATTTTTTCATCTTATTTTTCTTTTTATCTTATTTTGTATAATTTTGTTATTTTTTTATTTTATTTAATTCTATTTAATTTTATTTTTTTCTGTTTTAATTTAGGTTTTTTTATTTTACTTTGTTTTAAAAAATTTAATTTTAATTTTATTTTCCTTATTTGATTGCATCTTATTTCATTTAACTTTATTATAATTTTTTTTATTTATTTATTCTATTTTATTATTTTTATACCATTTTGTTTTATTTTTTTATTTAATCTCATATTATTTTATGTTAATTTATTTTATTATTATTTTTTAATTTTATTTTCTTTTACGTTATTTTGTTAAATTTTTTTCATATTTTGATTTTATTTTATTATTAGTATATTACTTTTTTATTTTTCAATTTATATTATTTAATTTAATTTAATTTAATTTTATTTTACTTTATTTTATTTTATTATATTTTATTTTATTTTATTTTATTTTATTTTATTTTATTTTATTTTATTTTATTTTATTTTATTTTNATTCAAAATTACTTTATTTTATTTTATTTTATTTTATTATTTTTAATTTATTTTAATTAATTTCTTTTATCTTTTTCATGTTATTTTATTTTATATTATGTTAATTTTATTTTATTTTATTTTGTTTTATATTTTATAATTTTTTTTTTATTTAATATAATTAAATTTTTTTATATTATTGCTTATCAATAAATTTATATATTTTTTATTTTACCTTTCTATTGTATTTATAGGGTTCTGTATTTTTTTAATTTGATTTATTTTAATCTCATTCTTTTTAATTGGTTTACTCCAATTTCATTTTTTTAATATTATTTTTGCTTCAATTGTGTAGCCTCACCTCGAAGTATTTGTGAGCAAACATCGCAGGCGGTTATCTTTTTGTACGTGTACTCCTGCAAATGGTGACTGCCATCCTCGTTGGGACGCAGTGGTTGTGATGATGAACCGGCGGCTCCATTGCGCCTAAATTGTTGACGAAATTAAGAAGAGAAACGAAATCAATTAATAAATATTTTTTTTTTATATTTTTAAGCGCTGGTAGGTACGTTAACAGTTTGAAGGACAATAACTTTGAGTGAGTTCAGTGATATGACAATGAGAGCGATAAGGTTTTGATTTAAAATAAGACGTGAAGACATTACAAATAAAATAGACTAGTTGTAAATAAAGCAAAAAAAAAAAAAAAAAACAATAAAAAGTAAATAATTCCGCTTTAANAACAATAAAAAGTAAATTAGTACGTGAGCTTTACAACGAGTACAGCCAAGTTGCAGACATTTCACTCCGTTGTGGCAGCAAGAAAATACTCCATTTCAGGATTTTTGTTGAATGTTTTCTTTAAAACGTTAAACCTTTGTCAAATTGTTTTTCTTTTTCATTTAACTGTCAGAGTTATTAAAAATTATTATTTTAATTTTAAATTTTCTTTTCGAAATTTAGCGCATAAAATGTAAACAAATAACCAGAGTTCATGTTATTGTTTGCCAACGCTCATAGAGAGAGACACAATTTTGTATACATATATTTGTACGAAAGTGTGGGATTTTATAATCATGTAAGCGATTGCGTGTTTGCGGCAACTGTCTGTCACAGGCAATCGATCAATTAACTCATGGAATTAACGAGGATTTCAAAACGAACGACATATGAGCAGGAAAGAAACGGAGAATAAGAGCCAAATGACATAAATTGAATGGAGGACAGAAATGATTGAAAGCACACAGTAAGAAAGGGAAAAGCGGGACAGGAGAATGGATAATAAAACAGAGTAGAAAAAAACTGAATTAAAACTATTTACAAAAAAAAGAAAACTATCATTTTTAACAACAACCACAAGAAAAACATTGGCCATGATTACCGTTAACTGACAAATGGTCAAGCAACTGAGTAGCAAAAACATTAAGAAAATTAAACAAAATAGTAAAAACATTATAAATATATATAAAATCGAATATGTGACACATAGCCAGCTTTCCCCTTAAGCGTGTATGTGAATAAGGCCGCTGTGTTGGTGAATACGTTTCCGTCAACGGTGATACACAAGTGACTTATACCTACATATAGGTATGTAAATTGTATTTATGGTACATACACGTACGTAAATAAATAGCAAAATGTAAGCCAGGTTGTTGTATACCATTTTATTGGACAAAATCCAATTACTGATTACGTACAAGTAACAAAGTACATATATTTGATTTAACGTTAAAAATAAACTGAAACGAAATAAAACCAGAGAACCAAATAGTGCAAAATAAAAATCGAAAAAAACTTCAGGCTATGTCAATAAAAAAAACAAAATTAAAATGAACTTAAACCAAATTAAGCAAAATTAATCAATACGGAGAAAACGAAATTATTTTTTTAAATAATTATGTATTACAGATATAATTAAGAGGTCAAATTTTTACAAAATATAAAATAATAAAATAAAGTAATATAAAATTTACTAAAGAAGAGAATAATACAATAAACCAAATTAGATTGAAAAAAATGAAATTAATTTAATTTAAATTAATTTAAAAAAAAAATTTAATTTAAATTATTATTAGTAAGCAAATAACTTAAAATAAAATAAAAATAAAAAAATTAAATAAAATGAAATGTAATAAAATAACAATTTTAAATAAATAAAACCGAAACGCAAATAAAGTAATTTAAAATCAAACAAAAAAAGGTGCAAAATATAAAATAAAATTCAAAAAAAATATGAAATAATGATATCATTTAAATTTAATTAAACTAAATTGCATAAAGTGAAAAAAAATAAAATTAAATACCCATAAATTAAATTATTTAAAATTACAAAAAAGAAAAAAATTAAAATATATACAATATATTATATATAAAATAAAATAAAAAAAATAAATGCAATAAAAAATTCAATTAATATAAAATAAATTAAATATAAATTAGATAAAGTTAACAAAAACAAAAATAAGTAAAAATAATATAAAAGAATACGAAAATATATTATATGAAATAATATAAAGAAAAATTAAATTAAGTGAGTTTAAATTAAATAAAATGATTCAAAATATTGTATAATAAAGTAAAATTGAATTTAGATTAAAAGCATAAACCGAAAAAAAAACAATAAAAGCAATTTAATAATATAAAATAAGGTAGAATGAAAGAATAAAACTATTACTATAACTATTAAGAATTAAATAAAATTTTAATAAATTAATACAAATTAAATGATTTAAGATAAAATAATGATACACTGCACAAAATAGAATTACTTACCACAAAATTAGAACAAGAACAATTTATAATGATACAAAATTATTAATTTAAATATAAAAAAAATGTTTATAAGATTTTGCTAAATAAAGTAAAATAAAATAATATATAAGTTAAATAATGTAATTTTAAAGTTTTTTTTTGTTTACATTAAAATCATTTATTACTTTTAAACTCATTTTGTAATATGGTTTTCATATATAACTAAGCTGCCAGTCAGGAGTGTTGTGAAATTTTTATTATCCTCATATATGTAAAAATATATATTCCTATTTGCACATCTTCACAACCGTGTGTAAAAATAATTTAATTCCACATTCGTTTAAAACCCTTAAAAAACGAGAAACTTATTTTCATTGCCAATTACTTTTATATACTTCCGCTTATTTGAGCAAATAACTATTTATTTAACTGTAATACTCTGGCATGTCAGCACATATACATTCACAAACATTTGGATGTGTACATGAAAAAGAGCAGAGCTCTCAGGCTCAGCACGCACTCAAACATATGTACACTTATATATATGTATGTATGTCTGACCATGTTTGTATATATACATATATATATATATATATATACAGAAAATACTATTTACTGTAATAATATACATAAATATTCATACGAATATATACATTTTGATGTGTGTGTGCGCTCACATGCGCTTGCTTATCATTAATTTGTTGGCATTTTCATGCTGGATGCACCCGAGCGTATACGTAACCAATTTCGTATAAATTTCATTCATTACAAACGCAAATATATATTAAATGTTTCAATATATGCTACCGTATGCTGTTGTTTATGTCGCTTTATGTGGTATATCCATGGCATAATTTCAATTTAATTCTTACAAAAGCGTTAAAATCTTTTTGTTGTTGCTTTTTGTTATTATTATTGCAATTGTTGTCAATTACTGGTGTTGTAGTTGTTATTGTTGTCTTTATAACCATTGTTAGCGTTCGTTTTTTCCGTTATTCTCAACATAATTCCATAACAGTTTTTGTAATTGTTATTTGTTTGTTATAAAACAGTAACTATCGCATTTACCCAGGTAGTATTGTCTGTTGCTTGTTTGGTTGATGCTTTCTTTGTCTACAAGGCTCACTTGTAACACCCAGAGAAGATATACACTACTGATCACAAATGAGTACACTTTTTTGAAAAAAAAAATTAAACTAAAATAAAGCAAAATTAAATGTAAAATATGAATAAAATAAAATAAAATAAAAAATAAAAAATATTTAACAAATTAAAATAAATTGTAATAAGGTAAAATAAAACATATAAAAAAATAAAAAAAAATAAAAATAAAAATAAAAATAAAGTAAAGTGAAATAAGATTATAAAGAAAACTATAATAAAATTATACTAAATACAAATTAAATAAAATTTAATTATACTAAATTAAATTATATTATACTAAACTGCATTAATATAAATTAAGTTAAACTAAACAATGTTTAGTTAAGTGAAATTAAATCAATTAAAAAAATTTAAATAAAAACTTAATGAATACCCAAATTTGAAATGAAAATTATTTTGTTTGCATATCCAAAATAAATTTTAGAATTTTAATTTTGTTATAATTTCTTATATTACTCAACTATGCTCGTCAGTCTAGAAATACGGCATACATCACCTAGCTTTACCATACATTGCGCTCTCACTCTTTATTTGTTTATTTGTCTGGGCAAATATATATGTATGTATGCATGTGCGTGTGACCATTGGTCCATTTCGTCGGTATCTATTTCAGTACAAACGTTTTGTTTACTTTCACCAACATTGTTGGCATTGTTACTTACAGTTGTTATTGTTGTTGTTTATGTTGGTTATACATTGTTTACTTGTCGAATTGTAACTTTAACAACGAAATATGAATCAAGTTGAAACAATAGTTGCCAAATGCATATTGACAGAAGCCCATATCCAAGAGGACATTGATAGAGTGAAGTGATATAAGGTAACTAGTACCGAACTGGTACTTTCTGATGTAGTTGCAATGTAGCGTGGATTTTATAAAAGCTTATAAAAGCTAATCCCACAGGGACCTCTCAGGTAATTACATGGCAGAAGAACTCTGAAAAGAGGGATAAGGCTTTCAAACAATGAGGGCTTATCTTTGTCCACGCCAAAGCATATGTTAGAACTATTCTTTGCCAAAGCGGCAAACTATAGATTTTTATGGGCCAAATTGAAGGCGAAATAAATCATAACGTCTTATTCTTCTGCAAGGGCTCTTCATTAGTATTATAACAGGTCAATATTTAATGGGCTATCACTTTAATGATGGATGAGAAGGCGAAGAAGCTAATGAAAAATATATCTGCTATTGTCCAGCTGTACATCTGCGCGACCCATTTTTCTCAGGAATTAGTTTTTGACTATCTCTTCGAGCTGGCTTCAGTAAAAACTGGCAGCCTACAAGACATTTGGAATGGTTCCTACTTTTGAGATAGTGAAGCTGGGAGCCTCTTAGCAGTATCAAAAGGGGCCTATAGGCTCAAATGCGTTGGTTAGTAACCAATAGCCCCATCTCCTAAACTCAACGCTGACTGCCGGTGTCAAATACGTAACCACCCTAATAGGAAAATCAGGTTTCTGGTAGTCTGTCGAGTGACAATCAAGACCAAACACAAATTCTAAAATGAGAAGAGGCAATTAACCGACTATATCGGTAAAATAAAGTGTAATATAACTTTACATCACACGGA